CTTTGTGAGATGGGAACTGGAAGAAGCGTGTCTTCTACAAAATAAAGCAGCAAAATGAGTTCTGTTAAGAAAAACATGCTGCTAGAAACGGGCCTGATCCTATCGCCAAATATGTTCACGGTTGCCATAATTTAAGGTAACATTCTAAATCCAATTTTTCGGAATTTATCAGACGTCATTGATTTTTACTTTGGAACGCATAACCAGCTAAGGATCTGAATGTTACAACTCTTACTACTCACTTTAGGTCTTATATAAACAGTAGTAAGACTGAGGAAGTCAAGTATATCATATATAACTTAATATACTGATCTAGTCAACCCGTGATTTTTTATTTATTCTTTAATTCTTTATGTATATTTATTCTAGGCTGGTATGTGGTGAAGAGCGACTCAGAAGCGTTTCAGTACTGTGTGAGTGTTTGAGTGGAATGCCGTGACGTTGTTATCTGTTGCCACTTCAAATTTTTAAGGAATCAAATGCAAATACTCTTTCGTAACTTCTCCTTGAAAAGAACTAGTGGTGTTTTCTTGAAAATACTGCAGCGGACAAGCGGAAGGTTTTCTGTGAAATGGATCGAGTTCTACCCCTTCTAATACCCCTTTTTGGGGATGTAAATTATTTGTGTGGCATGAGGTGGGGTGGTCTGCGAGGGGACGGACGACAGAATCTGATACTGTGGGTTTGGTTTTCTTTGGAATCTAGCATTTTCTATGGCGTGTATCAGCCACCTTGCAACTCGCGTTTATCGCCGTGTCTGGGCGGACATGCGTCTAACGGGTTGCCCGGCTTGAGATCTGAAAACAAGCACCACGAATGTGTGTCCGAATCTGGGTCTTACGCAGCGCTAACCAAATGACGAGTGGTACGCCAGGGTCAGCGGTGTACTTCGCACCGGCATGCACACGTTGTGGTGCTGAGAAGCCTGATAGTTCTTAAAAAGAAAGGTAATTTTAATAGAGACATAATATTTAAAGCAGCAATAGCTTAAATAAGTAGGCTGTTCACCTGTACCTAGTAAGTGCTGCTTTCATTTCACAGCGAGCCCCTGTGGACGGACTCGGGGCTGTGGCCGGGTGGAGGCAAGGCGGCTCGGGGTGCTCCAGGAGCGGGAGGCGAGACTAAGCCGTCATGCAGCTATAGCCGCTGTTTAGTAAGAGGCAGCTTCAGTTCTGAAGAGCGTGTCTCCGTAGTAGGTGCGGTACCGAATCGGAAGGACTGGTTTTACTGCGTAGCTTTGCTGTAAAGGAGTCCAGCTGAATGGCACTGAAGAAGTAATTGAGCAGAGTATTCAGAAGGGGCCTGGCTGGCTATGGCAAACTCTGTGGAGAGGCAGTGGAGACAGTCCCCCAGTTCCTAACTGAAAATCCTCTTTGCAATAACGTTTTGTGGAATAAACACGCCGTTCATTTTGACACAGTGACTCTTAGAAAATATTCGGAACATATGCGCACATAATAGCATTGGATTCTTGGGTTTCTTTCTTCCCGGCTCTCTTCTTTCCTTCCATAGCATTTAACAGCAGACATTCACCTTTTCTTCTTGAGAATGTCAAATTTTTGTTTTACTTAAGATTTTATCAGCACACAACCAATGCTTCCTGTCTGTCTTAACCATCCAGCATAACACTACTTGTCTTCTGAAAGATTAAGAACTGTGTAAAGCACATGTTTAGCGATTTTAGTTCTTCTTCTTCTTTAAATGTTAAAAAAACGTGTGGATGTGGCACTTCAAGACATGGTTTAGGGGACACGGTGGCGCTGGATTAATGGTTGGACTTGATGATCTTGAAGGTCCTTTCCAACCTTAGTGATTCTGTGATTCAGTGTGAGTACTGGCAGTGTAAGGGCAGGAAACGTAACTTAAAATAAGAATTAAAAGAAACCTTTGGGAGTGTACAAACGGGCAGAACTGCACTGTATTGCAGAGCACTGAGTAACAAATCCCTAAATGAGTTGGTCTGTACCAAAATGCTGGACAAAAAAAAAGGCAAGTACAGCATATATTACGGGATTTAAAGTTCAGAACGGCAACTGGAGCTATAAAACAGGAAGCAACGTACCTGGGGAAAAGCAGGGGAGGCACCAGATAATGTTTTCTGCAGGAAACCAAAGGCTTGTGTGTGACCCTTTAAACTCTAAACTATCCAGAACTCTCGAGCGGCAAAATTGGGCAGAAAGAAGCTGCCACGTCAAAGCAATGTCAGAACATGGATGTTCTCATCTTGATGTTCAAATAGTTGGATTAGTCATCTATTGTATGTCTGGGTTTTCTACAGAGGTAACTGGTAAAAGTACAGGCTTAGCATTCTCAGAGCTGGGAGATCAGGCTGAGAGATGAGTCGGTTGGAAGTGCCTGGCAGCGGGGACTGGAGGGGCTCGGCTGCGTGGGGAGCCACCAGAGAGGGAAGGATCCAGGCTTTCTGTAGAACTGGACAAATGCTTGCATTTCAAAGTTCTGATGTATTTTCACTGTCATTAGACTAGAAGTTTACACCGCAAGGGAAGTTTTGTGAAATTTTTTTTCCAACATCCTTTTTTTTCATATACTTCTAGCTTTTGACGCTATTTTCTAAGTAGCCTTGTAGCACAGCAAAATTACCTTGAATTCTGTTCTACTGTGTGAAAGGGAGTATTGCAGCATTTTTCAAAAGCTCGGGTGAGTCTAGAAAAGGTGCTTTAGTTAGCAGTTATAGTTAGGGATTGGGCCTCACCTGCTTCATCTAAACGGATTATTTTCTTGATCATTGCATTAACAAATGCTTTGTGTACATAAGTAACGTGAAAAACATCATGTATTATTATTTTTCATATTATGCTAGAGCCTGTTATTCATGCTATACCCAGGCATGAAAATTCTTAACTTAGAAACAAATCTTGATTTAAAGACTAAGTAAGATATCCCACATCTTAGGAGACAGACAGAATGTAATAAATGGCATTATAAGATTAGCGTATATGCAACTGAGGACAACATTTGTCCACAGTCTAGTATTACTTGTAGACCACAACTGCCTCGTTTTATTTCCAAAAGTTGAACACATATTTACACAAGCTAAAATAGTTTCCCGTCCTAGAAACTTGCATGTAGTTCAGTAGTCCACCCTTCCTCATTCTTTTCTTCAGTAAGGACATGGGTGGGGGGCAGCCACTAGTCCAGTCGTTTGGTTTCAATTTCTCTGACTCGGGTATTCTAAGTCAGTGGGATTTAAAATTCATTCTTTTATTCCTGATAATTGGGCCACTTCCTTAATTTCTATTACCTTTGAGTGTTACTAAGTGAATTATTTCATTTGTGCAATTACAGACTTACCGCTTTTGGCACGGGGCTAGTGGGTATCTTGGGTGTGCTTCCTAGAGCAGCCTGCCACACAGAGGAACACCCAGCACTGTGTTTTGCAGAATGTATTGTATTTCTCCAACCTATTTGGTCACATAAGAAAAGTATTGTTTGTTTTGTGTATAGCACAGGCTTACATTGCTCTTGAGTCCTCCCGTGTTGGGAAGGGGTTTTTCTTGCAAGGTGGTGTCTTCTGTAACATTTCTGAGTCTCGCACTGCACTGGTTGCGATAGCACTTCCGATGACCGTGAGAAAAGGATGTTTCACCCTTGGATTACTCAAGTGCAAACCCCACCGCTGCTTAAATAGGAGAGCTGTGTGCTGTTCTGGTTAGGAGCATCCGAAACTTAAATGAAATCTGTGGTGAAGGAAAGATTCATGCCTGGAAGAATAAAAGAGCATACTACTTAGAAATAATATTCAGGGACAAGTTCCTTCCACTGTTTCATTCAGCCATCAATTATTTATGCGTAGTGGTATGGTGAACTTCTGCTAATTTCTAGTCATTGTGCTTTACTATATAGTATATAGATAAATCAGAGAGAGAGACTAGATAATACGAAAAATTTCTTTACTGACAAGAGTGGTCAAGCATCGGAACAGGCTGCCCAGGGAGGTGATGGAGTCACCACCACTGGAGGTGTTCAAAAAACATGTGGACGTGGCACTTTGGGACATGGTTTCGTGGGCATGGTGGTGTTGGGTTTGATGGTTGGACTTGATGATCTTAAAGGTCTTTTCCAACCTTAATGATTCTGTGATTCTATATATGTATATATATATAAAATGATGATAGCTATATATAACATATATACAAACCCAATACGATGCTAAACATAATACAGAAATACAGAAAAAGGTAGAAATGTGAGACCATCCTATTCAATTTGCGCTAGAAATCCTTCTTCTGAGAAGCTGGCTTGCCAGAAGGAAGCAGATTTTCTCACTTCCTATTTGTTTTCCGGGGAAAATTGGACAATCCCATGTTTTGTCAGGAATCGCACCAAAACAAGGTGTCTTACCCTCAGTGGCAAACTACAGTGTTTGGGAAACTTGGGACTTATTTATTGGTTGTGATTTTTTTCATAGGACCTACTGAAAACACTAAAAACACCGAAAACACGTGAAAAATCTGACTATCATCTCACACATAGATAAGAAGTAATTGTTTAAAGAAATATTTTAGTAGTGAAGCTACTCCAGTATAAAGCTGGTATAGCTGCGAAAGAAATGAGGTTGTCTTGATTCAAACTGAGTAAAATGAGATCAAAATTTATCTCTTTATTAACAGATACCATTGTGTATGCATAACCTTGTTTTTTTAAGGAAAGATTTTAAACCATATATGTTTTGAATAAAATTAAAAGCAAAATGAAGATCTAAAAGGAATGACATTATCTCATATTGACAGGTACCTATCTCTGTACAGATATAGCAGACAGCAAAAAAAAAAAAGATTCTTAGATAAACATTGCAAAATAGTGTTCCAGTTTTAACAATGATTATCCTGAAGTTACTTAGAGTTTTCAGATTCTGTGGGGAAAACAGCAGGGAAGTGGCTAATGACAGTTACCATGTTACATATTGCTGATTTCCTTGAGACCTGCATGGCCTTTTTCTTTCTTTTCCGTAATTAAAATGCAGTTGATGATTTCCACAGCTACAGTCTTTCTAGAGTTTTGGAAAAGACGGAGAGCTGTATTAACCTATGACTGGGACCTCATAGACTGGGAAGATGAAGAGGTAAGACTAAAACAGACGTAAACCTGTAAAGCTTGCTATCAGCATGATTTCAGCGTAAATATCATTACATATTGTATGCCAGTAATCTGACTTTGTCACTCAGATTAAAATTTTCTTTATAACACTACTGGCAGAACAAACAAGTATACTTGAGACTATACAAGGATACTTTGCCTTCTGCAATTAGCATCATAATTCCAAATAGAATTCTACACTTATTAAAAGCATCCTTTGAAAAATGGAGTGGAAATACTGCCCATACAGAGGACAGGAGCTGCTACTGTTGTCAGCACAGGTGCCTTTCTATTCTATGGTGTTTTGTAGTGGAAATTCCTGATCCTGCCTAAAAACGGGACCAGGACAAGCAAAGGGACAGAAATTAGACTTTATATCCTTCTGAGAGGCGTAACTTATCCTTTAACAGCATCAGCAATAATCAAATTATTTTATTACTTCATTAATCACTAGTGAATATAGCTCTAATTTAACTATACTGGTGATTCAGATGCAGTCTAAGTGAATAGAGACTTTATCATTACTTGATTTATAGCTTTCCATAGATGCGTAGATACAAGCTGGTGACTTTTAATAAGTGGTTTCATATCACAAAAAGCACCATCATAACGGGCAATAATTTATAGTTTTCTTATCAATTTCTGCTTAAATTAGTGTTTAAGTCAGTATTATGACCCTTTTTAATACCCTCACATAGTGAGGAAGGCTCTTATGGTTTCTTTACTTTATTGGTGTCTGGCACTGTTTCCAAGGATTTTCAAAGGAGCAAATTACTTGGATATTTGAGTTGGAGCATCATAAAAAAAAAATTGTATCAATATAAATTTCCTATTTTATAGCACATATTTGTCTGATTAGTGATACTTCAATGAAATAAGTAGTACAACAAATGGAATCTACCTTGTCATTCCAGGAGGAGCTGCGCCCCCAGTTTGAAGCTAAATATTCCCAAGTGGAAAGAGTAAATCCCATCACAGGAAAACCTGAACCTTTTCAGCCTTTCCCTGATAAGCTCAGTCGACTGATGGTGTCTGTCTCAGGAATATTCTTCATGGTAAAGCTTAATAATATTGGAATTGCTGTAGCATTTAATCTTCCAATGTAAATAGCGACGCAAGTCATGAGCGCGTTCATTAAGATTAGTGGATTTACATAATATAGGCAAAACTGATTGTCTCAGTCATAAACTGCTTGTTTATGGATCTCTCTCTTTTAGAAGATGTAATATAGAGATATTGTAAAAGAAAAATAATGTTGGGGAAAAAAGAGCAATGTTTTAATTCAGCAATCCAGTATTTTCGTTCTCTCAAAGCCTGCTCACCAAAACAAATGGCAATCTTTAAAGCACTTGCTAATTTATTAATTCAGTGGAAATTATTTCAGATATGGTTTATTTTGTTCTAATATCTCTATTCATAAATACTTACCTGTAGATTTCCCTGGTCCTCACCGCAGTGTTTGCAGTTGTGGTGTATCGCCTGGTAGCCATGGAACAGTTTGCTTCTTTCAAGTGGTATTTCATCAAGAAATATTGGCAGTTTGCAACATCTGGAACTGGAGTCTGTATCAACTTTATGATCATCATGTCACTCAATGTTGTAAGTCTTCTGTTCTTTTAAAGGAGGGATTAATTTAAAAGAGTAATTTTAACCAGGTTACTGCGTATATCAGATATATACGTGTTCTTGCTTGTTCATATAGCAGTGCCTGAAGCTAGTATTTCAGGGGTTTTTCCTCTTCTAATACTGTATTTGTCAATGTTTTCCTCTAATGCCTACTTAATTTGCCACTACACACCTTCACTTATGTCACCAAGTCATAGTGGTAGAGACTACTGCTTTCTACATTTGAATTTTTGGTTTTTACATTACCTTTTACAGTACATCTCTAAATGGCACTACTTTATTTTCTTGCCTGAGAATTTTCTTTCTGCTGTTTTTCTAATTGATAACTTTGAATTCTTCCCTTTCTTATTTAAAATGCAGCTGTGATATCAGTGTTGCAGGGTCCTAGAATCACTGTAATACATGATTTCGGTTTAAGCTTTTCCTGTCATGTAACAAGACGAGTTTAAGCATTTGCTGTGGTAGCGCAATGTACATTGATATAAACTCTATTCGCTCAACTGCAATATAATTTATCATTTTTCCATTCCTGTGCAGGCACAACCAGGTAAGGAGGAATAATAGCACAGCAAACAGTGGCTTTTAATTTTAAGGCGCTTGTGCACTCGCTGCAAAAAGAAAGCATTCTTCAAAACAGACTGCCATGTATTTTTTTCTGTTATTATCTATGAAAATACTAAGTAATAAAAAGTACATTCAAGTGAACAAGCATACCAAAGTTATTGAAAATAACTTGCTATTAATATTAAATACTCAAGGAAATATTTTTTCAAAGTTGGTAACTACTTTGGGCTACATGTCATTTAAATTAAAGACTGGAGATAGTCAATATATAGACAAGTAAGGAAATTTTCTGTAGGAGGCTGATATCCTTACCAGTGTGCACATTCCTGCAAAGGAAAATTGTATTGCGTAAATAGATCACATAGGTTTGTTCCTGAAGTTAGAGAATAGGCATCTAACTGTTCATTGAGAGAACCATTGATGTCTGAACACTCTCTTAATCTACTGTCTCTTGATTTATCTTTATTCTATATTTAATGTGTATACTTACTGTACGTTTAGATGGATAAAGAGAATGGGGCTGAAGTAGTTCAGTTAAGTCTTTACACAAAACTATCCACACGTAGCTACGACATTGCCCTCCCTTCTCTCTCCAGATATGTTGATGCTGTAGGGCAACAGGACACCCATGCTTTTGATGCCTGTTTTGATTCTGGGTTTGACATCACAACAGACTTATACCATCTTGTATTTCTCTTCTAGGTATATGAAAAGGTTGCCTATCTTCTGACAGACTTAGGTACGTAGGTCTTTACTAGTGGTATGGTTCTTGCTGGCTGTGGCATATACCTTTATATTTCCATAAAATAGGGGTTTGAAAACTTCATCTCTGCATAGTACAATTCTGGGATTTCCCTAAGCAAGTGAGAAATATCAGGAAAATTATATGATTATTTCACTGAGGAAATAACAGAAAAGAAAGGAATTTATTCCTATACTTCTACTTTTTTTTTATGTTCTATCATGTAAATTGAAAAAAGTTATCTTATAATAGAACAAAAGTCAAAACATATTCTTTATTAGAATGCTAAAACAGATTTTTTCCAATTGCTTGGTTATTTTTTTACAACTTTTTAATTTGAACTTTCATATGGAAAAAAAATGGTTAAGACAAAATTACATTGTCCAAGATAAAAGTGTTATGTCATAAATTTTAAAGGAATTCAAATTCAGTCACAATAAAAATTTACACTGAAGCCTCTAGTCGTGATTCAGTCATAGCGGTAAAGCTTTCTAGATTATCGAAAAGAAGACAGCAAAGACAGCAGTTAAGATCTCCTAATACGTGTAAGTCAAAATATGCAGTTGATCACGTCATAGTTTAAAAGCAAGATCGCTGCTTAAATTTAACAGCTCCCTCTCCTGGGTGAAGAATTGAAGAGCATGCATTCAACAAGATGCTCAAAACTTTATACTGTTTCAGATAACAGGCAGTTGAACAGGTTAGAAAGGTTCAGAATGTATAGTCAACTTATTCAAATTATTAAAATATTTTTAAATGTTTTTTCAGATCACACTGATTTGTATTCCTACTTAACTTTTTCAATCTATTATATTGTTACAGACCAGGGAATGGGAAAGAAATTAATGATTTAATTTAAGTATACAAGCTGATTTTTCCAAAAATATATGAAAGAATTAAAAAAAAAAGTTCATAAATTAAGCATGATGAAGGATTCTCACTCCACTTTCAAAGGTGTTTTACGTCAAAGAGAAGGAGGACATCTTAACTTCTGAGGAACAAGTGTGCATATGTAAAGCTACTATCCTGTACATTTGTATCCTATTTTAGTCATCATTAGACCAAAGTAATTAAAGTAGTACAAATTTTAACTGAAAAGTCCAAGCAGTTTAGACTTCCAAATCACATATGTGTTTTAAAACTTTTATCAAGGTATTGCATTTCAAGGTTGATACATCCATCAAAGAAATTTGAAATTAAAAAAAAAAAAAATTAATTGTCATCATTATCACAGAGTTCTAATTCAGGCATAAATAACGTACTACAAACCATAAGGAAAAACATCCAAGGCAGTGCGGACCCACACAGAATGCTTGTAGCCCTAATACACATTTCTATATTTGTTTAAAAAAAAAAAAAAGGATCTCCATCCTTTCCTCATTGCATTAGAAACTGTTTAACACTTCGCAAGCATTATGATAGGGAAGTCTTCAGGCTGAAGTAGTGGTCTCACAGAGAAGTATTTAGAAGGTGAGATGTTTGGGTGATAAACTAGTTGGCTGTTAGTTGCGTCTTCCCTCCGCTTTCCTTGGCAGCCCCTGTCTATTGCTCTGCTGATGCCAAGTGCTTTTGCTTTTTCTTTGTGGGTTTTTTTTTTGTTATGGTTCTGTTTTGGTTTTTTTTTAATCAAGATACCTGTAGCCTTAAAATTAAAGATTCACACTGAATTCAGAACTTTTACATGGAAATGGAACAGGTATGTCCCCATGGAGTTGTGACCTGTTCTGTACCAAGGGGCTTGTATCGCCCGTTTCCACACAGAGCCAACGCAGTCTGAGCTGGGACGATGGTTTTGTGACCTGCAGCCTGGGCACTTTGAGGAAGAAAAAAATTAATTGCAACCTGATGGGGTATCATGACTTGAAACCGTCGCTTCTTTTGTTAGTGTTGATGGATCTGTGAGCAAAATTAGGCAAACTGGATTTCCTTTTTATTGAGATGATGTATATTGTGTCTTTCTGCAGAGCACCCGAGGACAGAATCTGAATGGGAAAACAGCTTTGCCTTGAAAATGTTCCTCTTCCAGTTTGTCAACTTGAACAGCTCCATCTTTTACATTGCCTTTTTTCTTGGCAGGTGTGTTATCTTTGCTAACTGCACTTAAAGGAAAACTTGCACAGAACTCACAATCCTTGCAAACTGTATAGGTTTGAAGGAAATACAGTGACAGTTTGAACTGTAAGATTTAGATGCGAGTCAGTTTCTGAGGATAATTAATAACACTAAATTAATATCTTTAACTGTATGTGAGGGTTGAACCCCTGAAATCTTTACTCATTAAACTAGACAGTAAAAAGTCTACTTTTTAAGTGGGTCTGTGTATGTGACTTTCCTACTAAACGAGAATTCAGAACCTTCGAAAATACAGCCACTTCCTAAGTGTGGGTCTGTATTTAGCCCTGCGCTTTATTCATTTTTTCCTGTTTATTCCCCTTTGGTTACATTTCCCAGGATCCATTTCTAGAAACAGTAAATATTGTCTGGTAGGTCTCATACAAGAGTAGGAGGCAGAAATTCTGGCTCCAATTTTTGTGTATATCTTTATCTCGGAGCATGAGATACTGGACGGGTCTAACCTTGGTTCTTCTTCGCTTCAATTTCGTTACGATCAGGTTTATCATTCCTGCAGAACCTACAGAGTATTTCAGAATACCTTCTATAAAGTTTTATAATATAATTTCAGTTCAAGATTGTTTGGGAAAAAACCCAACACCTCTAGTAAAGACTGTTGGTAATATCTGTTTGTTACATTCAGTGGTGCGTTTGCCATACAGTTTCTAAGCTTTGTGTCTTGGCATCTCCTGTGTCTAGTAGGACCAGGCATGGAGGTTTTTTTTCTCATTTACTAACTTTCACTGTGGTCATTAAGAATTTTTATTCAGTTCGTTGTACAAGAATCTGTTAGATCTGTAAAAAGCATTTCGCTATATGGGTGTGGAAGTGATTTTATGCTTCTGTGTCTGAGTGTGCAATCCAGTGCACACTTCATGTGGGCAAGCAGATCCCTGTGCTGCAGTAAATTCCCGTGTATTGCAGTGGTTTATCTTCTTAGGAGTAGATTAGAGAGCCTGAATATCTAACATCTAAAACCTATGAAGCTAGGATTTTTGTTCTGGACGTAATAAAAGCTTAGGATCTCTTGCAAAATGATGGTCCTTGTTTGCATTCTGAAACCTCCGTATCCTACAGACACCAGATTTAAGCCTCTGTGATTTAAGCTGTTTATATTTCATGAGTTTGCTCAGTGGATGTTGTGAAATAACTACTGATACAGGGTGTTCTTGGAATGTCCACTGAGAAATAGAAATCGTATTTTCCAGATTTGCAGGCCGCCCAGGAAAGTACAACAAGCTTTTTAACAGATGGAGGCTGGAAGAGGTAAGCAATCCTATTTTGTCTTCTGAAATTTCCATGAGTAAGAAGGAAATGGCTGAAGGACATGAATTATGTCCAGTTTGAAAGATTTATTATTCCATCTAAGCACAGTGAAGAGTAAATTTTTATTTATAGCAAAGGATAGGAAACAGGAGATGTGTTTTTTCTTCTGTGTTCTCCACTGTGCCGAGTGACTCTGCCCAAGACATGCAGTTCTTTCTGCCTCTGTCTTTGGGAAAAGCAAAAAGTGATCGTCCCTTACTTCAGAGGCACTACTAAGTCCTGCGTGATTGTAATCTCCTGTGTATGTGGAATTTTTGGATGGAAGACATAAGTACAATGCCATCAGCTTTTTTATCAGCTTCTTAAACTTCTGCCAGCACAGGAAAGACGTGGATCTCTTGGAGCAGGTCCAAAGGAGCAACACAAAAATGATCAGAGGGCTGGAACACCTCTCCTATGGGGACAGGCTGAGAGAGTTGGGGGTGTTCAGCCTGGAGCAGAGAAGGCTCCAGGGAGACCTGATTGCGGTCTGGCAGTACCTAAAGGGGGCTTATAAGAAGGATGGGGACTGACTTTTTAGTAGGGCCTGGAGCGATAAGACAAGGGGTAATGGTTTTAAACTAAAAGAGTGTAGGTTTAGACTGAAATTTTTCCACAATGAGGGTGGTGAACCACTGGCCCAGGTTGCCCAGAGAGGTGGTAGATGCCCCATCCCTGTGGAAACATTCAAGGTCAGGTTGGACGGGGCTCTGAGCAACCTGATCTGGTTAAAGATGTCCCTGCTCACTGCAGGGGGGTTGGACTAGATGACCTTTAAAGGTCCCTTCCAACCCAAACTATTCTATGATTCTGTGATTCAAAAGCAGAAAAATAGTATTTTCAAAATTTAGCTCGAAAATGTGTTAGAATTGCACCTCCCTGGACGTCACTAGCATGGTCAAGTTATCTCTTATCTCTGAAAAACAGGTTTCTTCTATTGAACCCAAGTAGCCAAAGAGTAAAATACCATAACTTTGTAGGCCATGGTCTAAAAAAAGTTTCTGTAATTAGCAAACATTTTAATATGGCAATTTATATAGTTAAGATACTGGAGATTGAGCTACTTTGATTCATATAAGATACTGGAGATTCAGTGCCAGAGATTCAGCTACGATGCCTCTGTTTGAACTTAGGATATTACAAATGAAATATTGCTCCATTCTTTGAAATTAGTACGTATGTATTGGTCTAAGTGAAATGGATTACATCATTTATCATATACCCAGCACACATACCCTTACCTTAGGTAATACGATCCAGTTCTCCAAGAAATAATATATCTAAAGGTTGTTCAACTAAAGTCTCTGTTAATATTTCTATTATTAATACTTCTTTTATATATATTCCTTTCATTAAACATATTTGAATATTTTTCACTCACCTTCTGAAAAAATAAAAATGAAAGGAGTTCTCTGATTTTAACTATCCATCTTTTTCCATTCCGTTTCAGTGTCATCCCAGTGGCTGCTTGATAGATTTGTGTTTGCAAATGGGAGTCATTATGGTTTTAAAACAGATGTGGAACAACTTCATGGAACTAGGCTATCCGTAAGTTCAGATGTTAAAATTTGTTGTACAAATAATGATTACACATTAGTGTGATTCAGTGATAGGGAAAAATATTTTTATGTTTGGAGAATGTTTTGACTTTTTGCATCTCACACACTGTAACTTTATTCCCAAGGGAAGCATTAACTGCTGCTCTCGGGGTATGTTAACCATCTCGGGGAGATAAAGCTTCTCGGGGTATGTTAACCATCTAAATTGTTTATTGTGATTTCATTTTCCACAATACAAACAAGAGCTGTTCAGAACTGAAGAGAGGAATGAGCTGAGAGTCTTACAGTTCTCTTGAAACTGGAAGAATGTGTTTTCAGTAAAAGGTTGCTCATCAAATATTATTTTGATCAAAGTCTCAACCTTGAAAATAATGTCAGGAAGGGCTATGCTCACAATCTGCAATCATCCTGCAAATGAGGGGCAGCGGACTGCATTGTTGTGAGACATGGATTTCTGAAAAGAAGAAACCTACTTGAAGGTTTCCTGTCTTCTCAGCCCAGCAGCATCTTAAGTCTGTCTAGAATTTATTTTAGAACATATTTACATTCCTTTATGGAAAGCGGTGTTTTGTAACGCGTTTTGCAACCGAGGCAACAAGTTGCTCCTTCAATAACGAGAGAGATCAAGAGCTAAACACTAAAGTAGCGTGAGAAAAAACAGCAGCCTAAAAAGACTTCTAAGAAAATTATTTCCCATCTTCAGTCTCTTTTCAGTAATATTTAGAAACAAATAATAGTCTTTAATTGCCACCTGTGTCAGTACTGGATAAATATTTTCATTTGTATGACACTTTAAGTTGTGGGACTATTACCTACTTAATATTTATAACTACTTTGTGAAAAGACCTCTGCACAGCTTTATAAAAAATAGTCTTAAATATTTGCAGCTACAGCAACACCTTTTTAAATACTTTTTCCTGCTTCGAGAAAAAAATATCCTGTAGAGCATCTCGATCTTTAGGTTTGTTCAACAGTAGTAGACATATTCTACTATTCAATATATTCTAGTATCATATAGTTCTCGCTGAGCTCCACTTATTTGGTTTGTCTTTTACAGGATTAAAAATAAAGCATTATTTACTTTTTCAGTGCTTTCACTATGCATGATTTTTTTTTCCCCTTGTTCTTTTTTTTTATTTAGGCATGCAGGTAAATCTTACAAAGAAAGTCTATGCAAGCAAATTCCATATTCTGAAAAGATTATTTGTACAATGCCTAACATGCTACATTAAAGACATAATTAAAATTGTAATCCAAAATTTTGAGAACTTTTGGAAGTTCTTTGAATTGTATCTTATATGTAAATATATATATATAAAATAAATATATATTGTAAATATTTCCAGAAAATACCTAAGTAAACATCCAGGTGCTATTCAAAATAGGCCCACTTACTTCAAAACAATACCAGCAAGTACTGTAAATTACTGAGCAAGTACAGTCAATAATGCTCTGTTTATCTAATAAAGTTTATTACAGAATTGGTGGTCACGACGCAAAATGAAGAGAGGAGGGCAATTAATGGAGCATAAAATTTCTCTACCTCAGTGGGAAAAAGATTGGAATCTGCAGCCTATGAACCTCCATGGTTTAATGGATGAATACTTAGAGATGGGTGAGCATTTTTAAGAAAGTGTCGATTTTCTTAAGAAACTGGACCTATGTTGCACATTAAAAGAACTTTTGCATTTCCAATTTTTAACCATAGAAATGCCTGTCTAGTTTTACAGTTTGGCTTTACCACCATCTTCGTTGCTGCCTTCCCTCTGGCACCTCTCCTGGCGTTGCTTAACAATATCATAGAAATAAGGTTAGATGCATACAAGTTTGTCACGCAGTGGCGAAGACCTATGCCTGCAAGAGCAACAGATATAGGTGAGAGAACCTAATGACTGTCACTGTCGGGGAACATCTTCGTGCTTCCTTCTTTAATGAAGCTTGACCCTTGAAATATTTCATGTGTCAAGAGTGAAATTGATAATGTAACCTGCAGATCTCAGTGACAACTCTCCTGTTAAGCAACAAAAGGATACTCAGCTGCTTAGCTAAGAGGACTCCTCAAATTTGCTTTCCATTTCCAGTAGGGATCATAATAGTTGGAATTTTGAAAACAGGCTAAATGGTATTTTAGACTTTGGATTTGTGGAGCTCTAGGTCTAAACGGCTATCCAAAATCAATAGAATTTAGAAATTTAATACAAGGACTAAATTCACTTTTGGTTTAAAACTGAATTAGATAAAAATAAGAAATCTCTTTCCAAAAGCTTCCATTTGGCTTTATAACAAAAAATTATGGTTATACCTTCTGTTGTTTAGCTATTTCTTCTCAGCTGGGTGTACCCTACTGTAAGACTTCACTTAGGTGGAGCCAGTGGTGGCAGGAATGTGGAGACATGGCTTAATCTTGACTAGCGTTTTTGAATGAATAATTCTTTCTCAATAAGAAAGGAAATCTGTATGACTGTTGGTGACTTCAATATCAGTATTGAAGTATATAAAGTATGACTTTATATGACTTAATACAACTGTAAAAAACTAATGATTTCGTTTGTCATTTCTCTTTTTTTCTAGGTATCTGGTATGGAATTCTGGAAGGAATTGGAGTTCTGGCTGTCATCACCAATGCCTTTGTTATTGCCATTACTTCCGATTACATTCCCCGTTTTGTCTATGCATATAAATATGGTCCTTGTACAGATCAAGGGTACAGACAAGAAAAGTAATTAAGATATTCTTTATATATGCATGTATATTTCAGTGGAAGCACGTATTTGCTTCTGTCTTTCTATGTTAACATACTTAACGTGTACCAGTAGTATTTTACCTTTTACATCTGTGCAAACCTTCACAGGTGTTAAGTGCAAGTAACTCGGCCATTCCAGAGAGTTTGCAAATTATCTCCACAGTTATATAAGCGGAAAATCACGTCTTCCCTTCTGAATGCAAACAACAAAGTTCAATAAGCATCATAGCAGTTTTCAGGCTTTCTCTAGATAAGCTTTTCTTCTGTTCTGCAATAGTTCTGGACTATTGCACTTCTTCTCCCACTATGCTCCCACACATGTATATACGCTCCTGTACTCTCTTCTTATCTGAAGCTTGGTTCACCCTCAAACTCCCCACCTGTTTCTCTTCAGAAATGCTTGCAGCCAAGCTCCGGCAAGATTGGCCTTGACAGTATTTAGCCTGACTCCATACGCAGTGTATCTTAGCTTTCAGCAAGCTATCTTGCCAGTCCTTGCACCACCAGGCCAGTTTCCTGCCCTTCTCTCCAGACACTTACCCATGTCTCTGAACTGTGGGACCACCGTGCTCTGGCTGCATTTCCCTGCCATGGCCTTTTACGTGATCTAATCAGATCACAGTACTCGTTGGCATCCCCTCTTTCATTTGGAGACCAGTGCCCTACAGATGTTTTCAGGGGATGGTTTTGGAGGGGTTTTTTGGGTTTTGGTTTTAATATGGGAATTGGGGTTACCTCGAGAAAAGGAGGCATCACCTTGCTAAGACAATAGCACGTCTCTGTAGCACAACTTATCTTCTTTATTGCAATGGAGGAAGGTAAGAGTGAAAGCATCAAGGCTTGTCCAGGAAGCCAGGACCGCTGCATTCACAGACTCTGCCTCAGCTCAAACCGCAGGCGCCTGTCCTCCCTCCCTCCCTCCCTCC